TGCAGATTTTGCGATTCGGCCCAGTCTTTTCCGCAGTGATGTGAAGATTTCTGTTGACGGATTTCGATTTGCTTTTCAGCAATACCGACAGCGACATAATGCCGGTGATTGTTTAGACATGTTAACATTAACAAAATGCCTACCCTGCACACTCACCTTGCCATCGGCAACCCTCTCTGTCGTCAACGACTGTGACTGGACGAGCACGTCATCAAGTTAAGTAGGTGCGAATTATCTTACAGATCTTGACATATTAGTCACGCATCTGTTGAACGGGTAGGGAAAAAATTACTTAGCTGTTGTGGCATTACTAATCACTCCCGAAGCATATCTCTTGGGGTGCACTGCAGTATAAAACATGTCCCTTTTGTGCATAAGGACCTGATAGAATTCTTTAATCAGATCCATGGATGAATAGATGGTACTCTTTGCCATTCCATCGATGATGACATCTTTCCACGGCTCAAACAATTGATGTTTGAGCCGGTGAAGTATCAGCATACAACTTGTTAAAGGCATGTCATATTAATATCCCTACTGTGACCTTTCGCACACAGAAGGTAGGAAATCTATGTGGAGAGGTGCACCCTCTCACATGGTTGGTTGATAAGAGATCTGCAAAGAATCTGTCATAATCGCGAGTACTTGTTCATGAGGCAGTGATCATTGATTCGTGACACAGTACTTCGAACCCCTTTTCAGGTCTATTTTGTGATGAGTCGCTTTGTTTTTAAGTAACTCGCACGTCACTGATTCTAAGAACACCTTCCTGATTATAATCAAATCATCGTAAAAATGAGGTGCTCTGAGTGATTGTCACGATTAAGATGCCAATCGCTCAATCCGAGAATTATCATCAAGAATACTCCCGTGCATTGATGAGCAACTGATAACTATTCTTCCTCGTCTAAAACTATGGCCAATTGGATATCATGGACGTAATTATCTTTTTCGAAGAGTACGTATATCCTCACAATTTTTTACTGAGAAAATAATACAAGAACTTCTTTTTTTCCCATTCTGTGCAACTGAGTGATCTTCGAAGTTATCTATGGAGGCGCAATCAGATGAAGTGTATAGCTACATAGGTGGACGATCCAACATTATCATCAGATGGCCATCCGGTGAACAAGTGGCAGGCATATCGACTGTTCGTCTATGCCAGCTGACATGTGTCTCGTACCTTCTGAGCCATGGAAATCCAAGGATAACACCAAATTTGTCATCCAAGTCTAACATGATGAATCCATCATCATATTGGACCTCTTTCATTGTGTATATAATCCCTTCCACACTTTTATCACTGTTACGGATGCGCCTGTCGCGAGGCGTACCGTCAGCCTCGTTGGATGGAGCTCTTGCTCGCTATATTTAATGTTGCTGTTGTCTAGCGATTGGCATTGTAAAAAGATATTGACACCCCACAATCCACTAGGGCTCGAACCGGAATGTGTTTCGTGTCACTTCGAGTTCCAAGGTGATGAGGAAGCCCTCATTACCAGAAGCAGCAGCACACAATGAATGCGTGTTGGGGACAATTCTAATCAAGAGGCCTGCAAAGTCAGTTGACGTTGCTGGATCAGTAGGGTGCTCCGCACTTACTGACCCCGACAGTTGTTGGCTGCCCGTTACGATGCTGCGTCGTTGCAACAACGTCGGACCCACGCCTGAGGACCCCGCATGGCCGCTTGGTCGTTATTTGTTCCTGTGGTAAGTGCTACCGCTTTCGCGGCGCTGCATTCGTATGCATAATGTCCTGTGTTATTACATCTATTGCACGTTTGCAATTTCATGTAGTTGTTCACACGAGAGATCTTTCTTCCCGCGTAAAAGAGGTTTATTGGTTCTGGCCCTCCATTTTCCTGTCGTCTCGACAGGAAAATGTGAGCTCAAATCTGCGTAAGCCTGTTATACCCTAAATTCCTCCTGTTCCGCAACCCTCATGGCGTCTTTTAAGGTGATAAATTTCGATCGGAACACGTAGGCTTTAACGGGACTATCAGTAAAAATTGGCATGAACAACGTGATTATCGTTTTTTCGATCGGTGGCTCGACTGTTACGCAACTGATTAGGTGACGTATGTCTTGAATGTATGAGAGTACATCACGTTTTAACTTGCTTGCTTTTCATGAGCTCAAAGCGAGCCTGAACTCATTTCGCGGCAGTTCGAATGTTTGCCTAAGCCGGAACTTGAAGACATCCAACGACCCAAAGACACATGGGTCGTGCAACTTAAGGCTTAGGCCCACATCTTTGCACATCCTGCCAATTTCGATTGAGCATATGCGATCCTCATTTGCCCATCGATGATGTGGTGAGCCTTTTTGGCATCTTCTAGTTCCCCAATCCATTTCAACAGCGAGTCTTCATCGTCTCCTTTGTACTTTGAGATGTCAATCGTTAGAGTCTAGGTCTATGTACACATGTCGAGCCGGTAAAAGTTGCCTCCTGCTGTCTCAACAACTAAAAATGTTAGCACTATGTTCTCTCAACAACTCTTTCTGTTGAGACCCTTGTTGGTGAAGCAAGGATACACTTTCCTGCTCGAAGTCAAGCTCGTTCATAATGAACCTAGCGATGGCGGCGTGTTGTCCGTCTGGCCCTGTAGAGGACAGCATTGCACCAACAGCTTCTTGCCTTATTGTCTAACCCAAACGCTCCACGACATCCCTAAACGATTTGGCTTAAATGGGAGTAGCCTTCATGCGTTGGATCATAATCATCCCCCTCATTACCCAACATGTTCATGATCGCTGAAAGGATCACGAACTGCTAGCAGGTGTAACGGGGCACACCTTATTCAGCTAACAGAATGAATCTTGCACTGCTGACAGTACAAGGGTGTGTGCGACCAACTATCTTACGTTTGCGTACGTGCAGAGGACGAGTGCTATACGGAGTAAGAGCCCTCAGTACGTGTAAAAAGTAGAACTGTATTTAGTATAACCGATCCTTCTAATCAATCCCTGTTTGACCTCATATAAGTATGTCTAAATACAAGCATGTATAGTAACTATCTACCCACCTCTCATTGTGTGCCAATGTCGTGGCTATACTTTATTGGCTGATATCTTGGTCATACATTAACTAGTGAGCACTGTAGTACATTTGCGAAGCAATATTATCCATCAGGATAATATTGTAAGAACACATTAGGTTTTCCTGAAATAGTAATCATACTTGATAATTACCTTTTGTAAAAATCATGTAACGGAGGCACTCCGTTACATCAGCCGTGTAATCGTGCGTCCATTTCTGTGGACGGTACTTGCTTGTCCGTTGCTTGATGTCACGAAGAACCTACGTTTCCACCACTATGAATGGATCGTGCCTTAGAGTGAGATGCAGTAAAGGCAAATATAACGACGGTGCTGTCGCGCGGAGCAATATTTGGTCAATTTGCGGATTGACAATCGTTTTTGTTTTGGATCGTGTGATGATCTGTAGACATTTGACTGAAAGAGTGTAAAAACAGGATCTGACACCTTAATGCCAAAAAGCTATTATGCCAAAAAGCTATTAAGAAAATTAACTAGTAAATATCTGATATTATGTCGTGTAATGTCGTTTTTTAGAATAGGAGTGTAAAACACGCTAATTTCATTCATAATCACTTATATCAGTGGGCACGGGATTTGGGTACGATGTAGGTTTTCCAAGGGTGCGATCTAGGCAAACCCATTCCTTTACCCGTCTTCTCTAAATTGCTACAAACCGTCTGCCACCTTTACATACGGTTGTTCGTGTCGACGCGCCGTCGTCGATATTCATATGTAGCCATACGTGACGTCATGGAGCCTACATTTCGTGGTGTGTCGCCATGCAAATTGCCATGACAAGCACACAATGAGCGTCGATCAGTGTCAATGTGGCTCCGTGCACACACCAGCTGCAGCCCATTCTATGTTGAATGATGTACAAGTTGCAGCTCATGCGACAGGCACGTCAGCGTCAGACGACATAATAGCAATGTACTAGTACAGCACATCGCTGGTAGAAAGCGCGCAAATGACGTCGCGGGTGGTTCCATCCGAAGTGCCACCCCTTCGGCAGTGGAACAAATGCCGATGAAACTCTATCGATCGCTGTTGAACCGCTATAGTTTCATGGCTACCGCACACGGGTCAATACGGACCGAGCTGTGGTGATGAGTGCATTGACTTGCCGTTCCGTGCCTTTTTATTATCGCATCCGATCGCACCATTACTTACTAAGCACATCCAGAACGCGCTTGACAATAAGCGCGCCCTATAACTCCTCCTCAATCTGAGCCCGCCAAAGGTGGCGCACAGGCTCTGCAGCCCAGCAAAAGTAGCAATAAAAGCATGGTATTCCTGCTCTAGCGGAAGACTGGACTAGACCTTCTTTTTGCACTAGCAACGGGGTGACAGTCGACGTCATGATACAGGCGACGCTGTCAATGGTCGAATGACGCCTTTGCTGGGCAAGCAGCGTCAATCATTGAGTATAGCTGGCAAAAACGGTCTCACTCACTCGTCTCGCATGAGCGCGGTCAATTGACAGAAGAAAACATAGGGTCTATAGTACGTCTCCTTTGGCTCGTGACCGGCGCGACACTATCGAGCGAACGGAACCGAAGAATGATGATGCGTCAGTGTGACGTCGACGGGACACGAGAGGAGGGCGAAAGCTCGTCACGAGGCTTTACCCACACGTCACGTCTCGCTCCGCCAGTTTCAATGGCTCGCGTCAGCAGCCCAGCTCGCCCATCCTGCCTTTCTGCTCGCGCAGCCATGCAGACATAGTCGGTGCAGAGGGGGCGGGAAGAATATTCGGTCGCGCTCCCCCACCGACGCATTTCACTTTCCCCGCTCTCGCGCACGCGCACGAAGGGAGCGCCATCGAACAACCGACGGCACTTGAGAGAGAGAGACGCAGGACATTGCTCGCCCCCGCTCTTGCGCTGCCTTCTTCGTCCCTGTCTCCATCGCTTGAGACCAAGGCACAACCTCTCGAAGAGCTACTACCACCACCAATCATGAGCCAAGCAGCGACCAGCCAGGAGACGACCGTGATGGCCAACGAGCACATGGAGACGGTAGTCACCACGACCACGACCACGACCACGTCGATGGAGCAGGAAGACGAGACGACGACGTCGAGTGCGGACTCTAAACCCGCGATCGACGTTAGCCAGTACTCGTTCATTACGGAGTTTGGCGGCCAAGGCGTTCCTTACTGGACGGAGCTCCAGCAGCTCTACGCCGCGTCCAAGGCGACCATGACGCGCTTGTTTATCGAAGCTGCAGCACAGGCGCTACTTGAAGAGTCGAGCACTGCCGAGGCCAAAGCTTCGGTCGCTTTTGAGGCGGTCCTGGACGTGCAGCGCTGGCTGCAGACCCTCGAGGTTGGAAACGCCCCGACGAACCTGGCGCTCAACCGCGTTTTCTTTAGCATGCCGCTGTTGATGCTCACGCAATGTGCCAACTACCTCCAGTTCCTCGAGACTACGGGTATGACCCACGAGAGCGTCGTCAAGCGCGCGGCCACGGCCGTAGGTCATAGTCAAGGCGTCGTGAGTGCCGTCGTCTTCTCGGCGGCCAAGACCGCTCAGGAGTTCGTCGAGCTTGCAGTGTCTGTGCTGCGTTACATGTTCTGGCAGGGACTGCGCACGCAGGAGACGTACCAGCAGCTTCTGACGCAGTACAAGCAGGAGGGGAAGAAGCTTGCGAACGCTGGGCCCATGCTGGCTGTTCGGGGGCTCAAGGAAGAGCACGTTCGAGCAGCTATCGGGGTCGCAAGACGCCGCACCAAGACTCCGGATCTCCACCTCTCTCTTATCAATGCCTCAGACATGATGAACGTGACGGGCTTCCCCGCGACGCTAATGATACTAAAGCAGATGCTTGAGGGGCAGCTAGCTCCACTCGATGCAGACCAGACGCGGATCCCACATTCGCAGCGAAAGCCCACGGGCTCGCTCTCGTTTATGCCGATCTCGGCGCCCTTTCACACACCGCTGCTGACTGAGGCGAAACCGAAGGTGGTGCAGGACGTCCAGCGCGTTAACTGCGCGATTGAGGGCTGTGCGCTGCAGGTCCCAGTGTATGGGACGAACACCGAATCGACCAACTTGCAGAAGGTAAACGATGTGATCGATGAACTTATCAACATGCAGCTGCTGGAGCTTGTAGACTGGACTGCGACGTGCGCTAGTATCGCTAAGCACCACTCGAGCGCGACGCACATTCTCGAGTTCGGACCGGACCTTGGTGTGGCCAAGCTGAGTGACAAAATGGCCGAGGGGTTGGGCGTCGAAGTCGTGATTGCGACCACCAAGTACCCGGTCGTGAGTTTTACAACGAAGAACGCTCCGCTTGTTGGGCTTCAGCAGTTTATCGATGCGGCGCCGACATTTAACCCCGTGGAGGCAACGTGGGCAACGAAGTTTGGTCCGCGGGTGACCGAGTCGGGCAAGCTTTGCAACCGATTTACGCGCGTGCTGAACAAACCACCGGTAATGGTCGCGGGGATGACGCCAACTACCAGTCTGAATGGCATTGATTTGGTTGCAGCTATCTTGAATGCTGGCTTCCATGGCGAGCTTGCTGCTGGCGGTCTATCGCGTCCGAACATTTTCGAAAGCGCGTTGAACGAGCTTGTATCCAAGATCAGACCCGGACTTGGTATTTCGATAAATATGCTGTACCTGAATGCAAAGCAGTGGGGCTTCCAGTTTCCAATGGTGCTGCGTATGCGTCGCAGCGGTGTGCCCATCGAGAGTATTACGATTGGTGCAGGCATTCCAACGCCGGAGCGAGCGCTTGAAATAATGTCACAGCTACAGTCTGCTGGAATTAGACTGGTGGGTTTTAAGCCGGGGTCAGTAGACGGCATCCACGCGGTGTTGGAGATCGCTGCTGCGATGCCGAGTATGGACGTGATGTTGCAGTGGACTGGTGGCCGTGCTGGTGGTCACCACAGCTTCGAGGATTTCCACGAGCCGATGGAGGTGACATACGCTGCGATCCGTCGCGTACCAAATGTGCTGCTCGTTGTCGGGTCTGGTTTTGGTAATTGGGAGGACTCTAATCAATACATTACGGGTGAATGGAGTCTCGCTCGCGGACACTTGCATACGATGCCTGTGGATGGTATTTTAATGGGCTCTCGTGTCATGGTTGCGAAAGAGGCCGCGACAGCACCGGAAGTAAAGCAGCTGCTCGTGGACACCCCTGGTATTGAGTCCGAGCTGGATTGGGAAGCAAGCTATACTGGCGTTGTGGGCGGCGTAGTCACGGTTACGTCAGAGCTGGGCGAGCCTATTCACGTGGTGGCAAACCGCTGCGCTGTGCTGTGGAAGAAATTTGATGACAAGTACTTTGCTATACCGCGTGATCAACTGGAATTGGCCCTTCGCCTTAACAAGAAAGAGATTATTGCTGGTCTGAACGCAGACTACCAGAAGCCTTATTTTGGCTGCAAACGCAACGAAGAGACCGGTGAGAGCGCTCCAGCTGATCTATTGGAGATGTCATATAGTGATGTTTTGGCGCGTATGGTCGAGTTAATGTACGTGGAGATCGAAAATAAGCCATCTCGTTGGCTGCACGACACCTTCTTTTCGCGAGTGAGCAAGTTCCTCACGCGTACTGAGGAGCGTTTCTGCCGCGAAAGTCTTGGCGACCTGTTCGACCAGTCGGAGCTGTGGACAAACCCGCGGGCAGCAGTGCGTGCGTTCGTCGCAAAGTACCCAGAGACCGCGTCAACTCCATTGTCAGTCCCAGATTGTGATTTTTTCTTGGAGTTGTGCCGTACTGGCGGCAAGCCTGTGAACTTTGTGCCTGTGATCGACATCGAGTTCAAATCTTGGTTCATGAAGGACTCGCTGTGGTACTCGGAGGATCTGGACGCGGTTCCAGAACGCGATGCGCAGCGCGTGTTCGTGCTTCAGGGCCCTGTGGCTGTCCGCTACAGCAAAATCGTGGATGAGCCAGTTGCGGACATCCTAGGCGATATAGCAACTGGCCTCGCTAACGTCGTGAAGGAGAGCGGAGTACCTGCTCCCGTCAAATCTATGCCTGTCAGGTATACCGGGACAATTGCCGGCATAGAAGTCGTAGAGAGCGAAGGCAGAGTGGAGGTGTTGGTCCCGGTGGAAGAGAGTGCTGTGCCCTCTACCGATAAGTGGCTTGCTGACCTCGCTTCATCTGTGAGCGACAAAGAGTGGCTGAACGCGCTTATTTCGTCGGCACAGGTAGTTGAGATGAAGAAGTGGCTCGCGAACCCTGTTCGGCAGCTCCTTGCCCCCCGAGTAGGCCAGAAGTACGTGATCGATGCTGCCAGCATGCGTGTTTTTGACAGCTCTGTTGACCTTGCGAACCCAGTGATCGAGATTACGAAGAGGGACGCGACGATTGTGGTCATGGTGAACGAGGTTCGCCCGGCTGTGCGGGAATTGAAGGCCAGCTTCGTCACGCTGCAGATGGCATTCCAGTACTACCCGGAGCTGCCGTGCTCGATTCATGCTGAAGGCAGTGGCTTTGTTGACAAAGTGAAGGCGTTTTACGCCCGTTTCTGGGTGGCGATCGAGGGTAAGGAAGAGGAGTCGTGCGAGGCTGCGTGTGCAGAGAGTGTGATGTCTTCTTTCACGACTGACTTTGCTGTCACCAAGGAGGATATTACTGCCTACCGTGCTTCTCTGGGTCTTAGTGATGATGAGATTGGTGCACCGGCAGACTTCTCGACGATCGTTTCGTGGCGACCACTGATTCAGTCTGTGTTCACGACAGAAGTGAAGGGCAACCTCTTTGACTTGGTGCACCTGAAGCACTCGTATAAGCTGTTGTCTTCGCGCAAGGCTTCTGCGACGTTCTTGCCCGGCGACGACATCGTAAGCACGTCGAACGTCGGCAGCTTGCGCATTATCGACAGCGGCAAGATAGTGCACGGCGTGGCCATCATTTCCCGCAAGACGGTGAATAAGGAGATGGTGGAGGTGCTTGAGCCTCTTGTAGAGCTACACAGTGAGTTCTTGATTCGTGGTTCTTTCGATGACTTTGAATCAACCTTCTCTATCGACAAGTCGGTGGACGAGTTTGTGCCCAGCCGTCAGGAGACTGTAGAGATCATTAAGACGAAATCGTGGCTGAAGCTTGCTGCTGGAACGACAGTAAACGTCGGTGACCACTTGATGTTCCAGCTCACGACAAAAAGGCAGTACTCTTCGATCGGGTCGCTGAGCTCGGTAGAGGTGCTGGGCAAGCTGTTCCGTAAGGAAGCTGGCTCGGACGAAGAGATTGGTGTAGTTGAGTTCAAGAGTGACAGCGTGAATGAAAGCCCGGTTGTGGCGCTCTTGCAACAGGTGCAACTTGAGGCTGCTAAGACTAGCGGTATGTTCGCGAATGGTGGCTCTCACATGCTGGCAAAACCATTGGAGATTAATGTCCCGGCGAACGCTCTAGCGTACGCAGTGGCATCTCGCGACCTGAACCCAATTCACCGCTCTAAATATGCCGCCGTCCTGGGCCACCTCCCGGAGGGCAAGCCGATTATGCACGGTCTATGGACAGCGACCAAAGTGCGCAATCTGGTGACCCAAAGCTTCGGTCTCGGCTTCGACAGCAACGTTGTGGACTACGACGTGAATTTTGACGGTATGGTGTATCCGGGTGACAAGCTGTTCATGCAGGCGAAACACATCGGCTTTGAAACTGGCAAGAAGGTATTGTCGATTGAAGTCGTGAATAGCTCCGGTGAACGCGTGGTTAGCGCGCGTGCAGTGGTGAAGCAGGCGCCCATGGCGTTCGTTTTTACGGGCCAAGGCTCTGCCGCCGTGGGCATGGGCATGGAACGGTACCAGGAGTCATCGGTCGCTCGTGACATTTGGAACCGCGGCGATAGCCACCTGCGTAAGACATTCGGGTTTTCTATCCTTGAGATGGTGCGAACAAATCCGAAGTCTATTACGGTGCACTTCGGCGGCAAGAAGGGCCGTGCTATTCGCGAAAAGTACATGAGTTTGACGTGCGAAGACCCGGCATCAGGTGCGATTGCACCACTGCTACCAGAGGTTAACGCTCGTACACAGAGCTTCAGCTTTTCTGCCCCAGAGGGTCTGTTGTTTGCGACGCAGTTCAGTCAGCCTGCGTTGGTGTTACTGGAGAAGGCCATGTTCTCTGAAATCGAGGCGGCCCAACTGATTCCGGATGATGCTCACTTCGCTGGTCACTCGCTCGGTGAGTATGCTGGTCTCAGCTCTTTTGCAGGGGCTCTGGCTGTAGAGGACGTTGTAGAAGTTGTCTTCTTGCGTGGATTGATCATGCAGAAGGCCGTTAAGCGCGATGCTGAGGGCCGCTCTGACTACGGTATGGTGGCCACTAACCCCACGCGCGTTGGTTCCCACCTCACGGAAGAGGTCATGCACAAGATTGTTGACGAAATTGAAACTGCTTCCGGCAAGCTATTACAGGTTGTGAACTTTAACATCCAGCAGCGCCAGTACGTCGTTGCGGGAGAGAACGTGAATCTCGAGACCCTGTCGTTGGTACTGTCTGCTTTTAAGACGCTGCAGTCAGCTACCCCCGAGGATGTGGCGAAGATCATTTCTGATTCGTTGACACAAGCTCGTACTCGTAAAGAGAAGTGCGAGCTGAGCAGTCGTCCGTTTACACTGGCAAAAGGTCTGGCTACTATTCCGCTCGTTGGCATTGATGTCCCGTTTCACTCGCGCGAGCTGCTTGGTGGGGTACCGTCGTTCCGTGCTCTTTTACGGACCAAGTTCGACCCAGAGGTGCTTGAGCGCCAACTGCCACTCCTAGTGAATCGCTACATTCCCAATTTAGTGGCCACTCCGTTTTCGCTCGAACGATTGTACTTTGAAGAGGTTCACAAGGTGACCAAGAGTCCGTACCTCGCGGAGGTCTTAGATCCGATGCAGTGGAAGTTGACGACGAAGGCTCAGCTTGCACACCTGCTTGTAGTTGAGCTACTGGCTTACCAGTTTGCATCTCCTGTGCAGTGGATCAAGACACAGGCGCTTTTATTCTCAGAGGGTGGTGTCCGCCGGTTCGTGGAGATCGGTCCTGCTCCAACGTTGACGAACATGGCGCTTCGCACTCTTCAAATTGGCGATTTTCCAGATGTGTCGCGTGAGATTTTGTGGTATCAGCGTGATCGCGAGTCCGTGCACTTTGAAGAGGAGACGTCAAACGTTTCTGCATCCGAGTATGCTCGTGGTCTGGCTGCGGAGGCAGCAACTGTGTCTGCTTTGGAAGTGGAGGGCGCTGCTACGTCTATGACGAAAGTGGTGGCTGCCTCTACTGCCACGTCTCCAGTTGTCGCTGCTCCTGTCCAGCGAATACAGAATCCGGCTTTCGCACCCAGTACCGTTCTTTCTGCTGTCAGTGACGCTCCTGTGGCTGCCCTGCACATTCTTCGTGTAATTCTTGCTATTCGCTTGAACAAGAGTCTGGCTGACATTAAGGAGGACACCGATGTGAAGACACTTTGCGCCGGCAAGTCCGCTGTTCAGAACGAGATTCTTGGTGATCTTGAGAAGGAGTTCGGTGATGGAATTCCTGACGGTGCTGGGGAAGTCCCGTTGAAAGAGCTGGCTTCGAAGTTCTCTGGCTACAACACCCTCGGCAAGGTAACAAATGGTCTGATCAATAAGGTGGTGGCGAGCAAGATGCCCGGTGGTTTCACGATGTCAAGCATCAAGGAATACCTTGGCGCGGAGAAAGGACTGGGGGCTGGTCGAATGGAGAGCGTTCTGGCACACTCACTGCTTTCCGCCCCTCAAGCTCGTTTTAAGAGTGATGCGGACGCGCGCAAGTGGCTGGACGACAGCGTAAGCGGATACGCTTCGTTTGCCGGTGTATCGCTCGAGCGTCCTACTATGGCCTCTGCACCGGGTGCGGTGGGCGTGTCTTATAACTGTGCACCATTGTCGAGTCCGACGGTGAGTGACAAACCCGTGGAAGCGAAACATGCTCTGTTAGTGATCCTCGCGGCTAGGTTCGGCAAGGCATTTAGTGAGGTTCCGGAGACGGTGACAGTCAAGGAACTATCCGCTGGCAAGTCGGCTGTACAAAACGAGATTGTCGGTGACTTGGAGAAGGAGTTTGGATCCGGTCCTGATGATGCAGCAGAGATGAAATTAGTTGAGCTGGCAGGCAAATTTTCCGACTACGCGTCTCCTGGCAAGGTCACAAGTGCTCTGATTGCTAAGATGCTGGCTAGCAAGATGCCTGGTGGCTTTGGTCTGTCCGCCATAAAAGAGTATTTGTCCAGTGAGCGCTGCCTGGCGAGCGGTCGTATTGAAAGTGTGCTGCTGCACGGTTTGACACAAAATCCCAAACAGCGTCTTACGGATGATGGTATGGCAAAAAGGTGGCTGGATGGTGTTGTAGATGACTATGCTAAGTATGCCGGAATCGAAATCCCTTACCTGTCGAAGCTTGGAGGCGCCATAGCTGGTCAAACGATGGGCCAGCAGGTGATGCATTCGGCTTCGTTGCCGACTGACTTCGACAAGCGGCTAAAAACCATGATCGCGGATCAGGTTGACGCTCTGAACTCGTACCTGGGTGAGGACCAGCTCGACTGGCATCACAAGATTGAATCAGAGGTGGATATGCGCGAGGATCTTGAGTCGGCAGTGTTGCAATGGGTGGCGGAACATGGCGAGTTCTACGGTGCTGGTATTGCTGGCAAGTTTGACGCCAAGAAGGAGCGTCAGTACGACAGCTATTGGAACTGGGCCGTCCAGGATGCAATGGAGCTGTACTACCGTACCGCAGCCGCAGCCAAGGGCTTGCCAGCCAGTCAAAAGCTGATGGTGAACGAAGGCTTAAGGATCCATTTCGAGGCCATGACTCGCTTTATTAACAAAAACGTGGATACGATAGCGGACGGTTCGGCGCTTCCCCCGCTTGAGTGGTTCAAGCCGTACCTATGCAACCGTGCCACACCGGAGCTGCTCCGATGCACACAGTTCTTTGTATCACGGGCTGAAAAAGAAAGCAGTGTTGAACTTGCGCAGGCAGTTCAACTGCTTGTGGAGCAAATGGAAGAGTGGCTGGACACGAATCCTGTGAACATGCAAATCTTCAAGCCGACGCAGCCGCAACTTCGTATTCTTGAAAGTGGCGAGCTTGAATATACAGAAGTGCCTCGTGAGGGTGTGACAGACTCTATCCACTATGTTGATGAGGTTGCTCGCGGGCTTGAGTACAATGACGCGATTGAAACTGGTAAGGTTGCTGGCTCCGATGTCACGGCTGGTATGACGAGTGCTGTTGGATTCGAATCGACCCTTAACGACAATGGCAGCGAGAGCAGTGATGAGCCTGGGAGCGACAATGACGGTGAGATTGATGATGGCGATTCCGTGACTGACAAGCGGTCGACTGAAACTAAAAAGATTGCTCCTGCCGAGGGGGCCAAGCTCAATGCGCTGCGTGACTCGCTGCGTAAGCGTGCGAAGCGCGAATCAGCGAAGTCGTTGGTTGCTCGTTCGTCTTCGCTACGCTGTGGTCTGAACGAAAACCTGAAGAAAATCGTGTTGCCTCATGTGCACATCCGCAAACCGTCAAATGTGGATCCGACGATCCGTCTGTACGATGTTGAGTCGACTTGTGTGCTGTTGTCCTGCATGCGCGAGATGGCATCGACGGGTATCTCGTTCTCTGGAAAGGTGGCGCTGCTGACAGGCTGCGGTAAGAACTCCATTGGTGCCGAAATCGTAAAGGCGCTTCTAGAAGGCGGCGCTACGGTGTTTGTGACAACGAGCAGTTTTAGTATGAAGACGACTACCTTGTTCCGCGAGATTTATGAGCAGCATGGTAGCCGCGGCAGTCGTCTCATTGTTCTTCCGTTCAACCAGGCATCGAAGGTGGATGTGGAGAATGTGGTAGCCCACATCTATAACGTGCATGAGCTGGATCTGGACTTTGTTATCCCGTTTGCGGCTCTATCGGAAGTCGGACGTACGATTACAGACATTGACTCGCGCTCGGAGCTGGCCCACCGTATCATGCTGACAAACACAGTGCGTTTGCTGGGTGAGGTTGTTACAGCAAAGAAGTTGCGCGACACCACTACCCGCCCTGCACTGGTGATCCTTCCGATGTCACCGAACCACGGCAATTTCGGAGGAGATGGTCTGTACGCTGAGTCAAAGTTAGGTGTGGAGAGTTTGATGGGCAAATGGTACTCAGAAGGTTGGGACGACCAGCTTTCGATTGTCGGTGCCATCATTGGCTGGACTCGAGGCACTGGCCTTATGTCAGGTAACAACGTAGTGGCTGCCGGTGTGGAGAAGATGGGAATGCGCACGTTCAGCACGACGGAAATGGGCTTCAACCTAAGCGCACTGATGCATCCTAGTATTGTTGATCGCGCGGCTGACACACCGATTTTCGCGGACCTCACCGGTGGTATGGCTCAGGTGAGCGATCTAAAGGAGCAGGTGGATATTATCCGGTCCGATATAACGAGGGAGGCGAAGCTGCAGGCGTCCATTCATGCCGCACTCGAGAAAGACAAGAAGATATTGTCTCTACCTTCTACGAAGCTACCGTCTGCATCCAGCGCTGTGAAGTTTGCTCCTCGTGCGAACATGTCGAGCTACTACTGTAACTCGTTTCCAAAGCTGTCTGGTGTGGCCGGGTTGTCCACCTCACTAAAGCAGGTGATGTTGCGTGGTATGCTGGACCTGCGCCAGGTTGTTGTAGTGACAGGTTTTGGTGAGGTGAGTCCGTGGGGCAACTCGCGTACGCGCTGGGAGATGGAGTCGTATGGAGAGTTCTCGCTGGAAGGCTGTATCGAGCTTGCGTGGCTGACGGGTCGTATTCTATTTGACAAGGGCAACTGGGTGGATGCGACGACAAAAGAAATCGTACCGGACCATCTAGTGAAGCCTCGCTACGAGGAAGACATCATGGCTCACTCGGGCATCCGTATCGTGGAACCGGAGCTATTCGGTGGCTACGACCCGAAGAATAAGATGGTGCTGCACCAGGTAGCCATTGACAAGAAGATGTCGCCCATTGAGGTCGCTGACCGAGAGGAGGCTCTGCAGTTCCGCAAGGAGCTGGGCAAGGAGAACGTGGACGTGTTCCAAAACGCGTCTGGTGCTTGGATGATTCGTCTGCGCAAGGGCTCCATTCTTAATATTCCTCGTGCGCTTGCCTTTGACCGCTTTGTGGCTGGTCAGATCCCGACGGGATGGAGTGCTGAGCGACTTGGCCTATCGAAGGACTTGGCCGATGCTGTGGATCCGGTTACGTTATACGTGCTCGCGTCGACAGTGGACGCATTCATCTCGGCCGGTGTGACGGATCCGTATGAGTTTTACCAGTATGTGCACGTCTCGGAAGTCGGCAACACGTCCGGTGGTGGTATGGGTGGTATGCGTGCTTTTACGCAGATCTACAAGGACCGCATTTTCGGTAAGGCTGCCCCAAGCGACGCGCTGCAGGAATGCTTCATTAACACACCTCCTGCCTGGGTAAACATGCTGCTATTGAGTTCTTCTGGTCCGATTAAGACGCCTGTTGGTGCCTGTGCTACGGCTGCTGAATCTGTTGATATCGGTGCCGAGACCATCAAGAGCGGCAAAGCTCGCGTTTGCATTGTTGGTGGGTACGACGACTTTGGTGAAGAGGGAGCGTACGAATTCGCACAGATGAAGGCAACGAGTGATTCGGTGAAGGAGACTGCCATGGGTCGCGAACCGAAGGAAATGTGTCGGCCGTGCTCAACGACGCGCGGTGGCTTCATGGAGAGTCATGGTGCTGGTATGCAATTGTTGATGGACGCACAGCTGGCGCTGGAAATGGGTCTACCGATTTATGGCATTGTCGCGCTAACGAACACCGCAACGGACAAGAACGGTCGCTCCGTACCGGCTCCTGGTCAGGGTATTTTGACGACGGCACGTGAGGCTGTGCCCGACAACTCAAAGCTCTCACCGCTCCTTGACGTGGAGTATCGTCGTCGTCAGTTTGATGACGAGCTGGAAAGTATCGAGAAGTGGTACGTGCGCGAGAAGTCGTTGATTGACGATGATGAGTCTCGCGTTGCTTTTCTGGACGAGCTGAAAATGCGTAAGGTGCAGTCTGCACAATCCATGTGGGGCGACAACTTTTATCGAGGCCGTGCCGACATTGCTCCTCTTCGGGGAGCGCTTGGTGCTTGGAATCTGGACATCGATGACGTCGGTGCTGCTAGCTTCCACGGCACGGGTACTACTGCCAACGACAAGAACGAGAGCGAGGTCACGCACAAGCAAATGTCTCATTTAGGCCGCTCCGCGGGTAACCCGCTGCCAGTTATTTGCCAGAAGAACTTGACGGGTCACCCCAAGGGTGCCGCTGCTGCGTGGATGCTTAACGGCCTGTTACAGGTGCTGAATACCGGTTTGATTCCAGGCAATCGACAGCTGGATAACACATGCCAGACGCTACGCAAATACGACCACCTCGTGTACCCGAACCGTAGTTACCAGACGATGGGCATCAAGGCCGTAGTGATGAAGAGTTTCGGCTTCGGCCAAGCTGGTGGTGAAGTGCTGCTTGTGCACCCGGACTATCTGTTGTCTACGCTTTCTGCTGCTGATTTCCAACACTACTCGGTTCGCCGCGAGAAGCGCATGATCAAGATGAATACGCATACTCAGAGCGTGATCACCAGCAAGCAGTTGCACATCCAGGCAAAGAACGAGGCCCCGTACTCGTCGGCCCAAGAGAGCAACGTATATCTGGACCCGACGGCTCGTGCCGAGTACGATGAGATGTCAAAGACGTGGCGATTTGGTGGTGTGGATTCACTCACTGCGGCGGAGAACCGCCGTCAGCGTGCCGAGAAGCGTGCGAAAAAGGCGAAGGCCGCTGCTGCCACGGCGGCTGCATCGTCGAAGACAGCTTTGGATGCGCGTCAGGCCAGTTCATCGTCTACGCTGTTGACTGCCATCAACCAAGCAGCAGCCGACTTGGGTCTAGCTTCGAAGGACATGGGCATGGGTGTAGACGTGGAACCTGTGGCTACGTTTGAGAATCTGAACGAGCGCGAAGACTTTATTCGCCGCAACTTCACGGATCGGGAGATCGCATACTGCTATAGCGCGCCTCACCCTGCCGCGAGCTTTGCAGGTCGCTGGGCTGCCAAGGAGGCAGTAATTAAGGCTATCTCGAGCTCTGCTCCCACGGAGCCTAACCTCTGGAAAGGTGCTGGCGCTCCGCTGCGCGAGATTGAGATTTTCATTACTCCTTCTGGTGCGCCCTCCGTGCTGCTGTCAGGTTATCCGCTGGAAGTATTTAACCGCCTCGGTTTGTCGAAGTTGAGCGTGTCCATTAGCCACTCCGGTGACTTTGCTGTATCGCAGGCGGTGGCCAACTTCCAGCAGGAGTAGGTCTACTCGTCCATCTATGATAATGTTACATCTTTGCACTTCTACTTGTCACGTGCTATCGAGTGAACGATCGACGCATGCGTCTCATCGACCAAAAGGCGCAGATACCAGTTAGATATGCGCGACGTCTACTACCACCATGACTTCTTCGTCTCACATTTCGGAATGCTCCTATTTCGGATCAGCAAGTGTCGCATGAGCTAAATGATTTCGGAAGCGTGTCCAGGGTATGCGTGACTGACTGCACAGTGATGGACGCAGTTACGTGACAGAGCTTTGTGGTCCCTACCGCAATAACTATGCCAATTATCTAGAGTTTCGGAATATTCGGTCTTGATAATGATCGTTTGATGTTTTCATACCATTTGACGATTTTTTCCAATGGTCTGTTTGCTATGCTTGACATCGCAGGCACTACATTATATGAAGTCTTCGACTTCGTAAGCTTCGCTCAACGTTAAGGTGCGGTAAAAAGAAGTGCGGACTAGTTCGATTCTGCAATCTATGCATTGCCTCGTTATACTTCTGAGCGTGTTTGGTGAGTACGCAAAAATCCGTTTGAGTCGTACTCAGACGTACCCCAGTGGGTCTTCTCGTCCAGACAAAAGAGGCTTCGTACAAGGTGTGTGAAATACGGGTGCCAGACGAAATTGTGTTGCTACTGCCTAGCAACCAAGCCAATTTTTTGTCAGTGCTGGATGTCGATCGCTAGTCTAGTCTAGATACACCACATCGAGACAGAGGCAGATGTGAATGGTGATTTACGGTCAAGTGTTCGTCTCATCGATAGCTGCTGATCATGAAGATCAGAAGTGATGTTCATGGTTTATGTTGAGCTGATGCAACGTCCATGTTACACAAGTATGTATTTGTCAAAATTCTAGTCGATTCCATACCAACTTGTAAATGTTAGCGAGTAGTGCAAGTAGCAGTCTTTGAGCAATGCAGTTGTATGCAAATTGCCTGAGACTACAAGCTACTCGATTGACTGCGCAAGTCTGCAAAGGTATTCCATTGACTCATCATTAATGCTGACTAAATTGCAACCGACAATCCATCTGCATTCGTTAGATTATTTACTTGTTCGGTCTGCGTGGCAGTAAGCTCTCTATGTCTCGAAGATTCAGAGGTTGGTGATTCGTATCCCCGACTATCGTCTTCAACTTCCATTTCTCATTTTCACTGACAAACGTTTACGAAAGAGTAAGCAGCGTTCAATTTTTCGACTCATTCTGTGTCTTTGACGCCTTTTCTCAGAACACGTTTGTATCACTACGGCCATGTTGTGTCGCAAAGTGTGCTGGAACCGGAAAATTCGATAGCCGCTGAGTAATCTTAACCAAAAACTTTATTTCGAGCTGAACAGTAGTTTATCATGGATATCGTACTTAGCCTAAGGAGGAGAAAGCACCCTTTGAGAATGAAATCGTCAATGATTTCAGGTTGGTTTTAATTCAGTTTACGCAGTATCTTACTATGCTTCATAGGGTGGAGAACTGGTCCATTAGAAAATGAGTAATTTTACAAACAGCTTGTACCCATAAACTGATCGATTAAAGTCAATGGCTTGGGTGTTTACTTGACTAAAAAGAGGAGTACATCTGATTAAAAAGGGAGTGATTTTAACAGACTCCGTCATAATTCCACAAGAAATGAAATACAAATGTACTAATATATTTATAAATTGTAAGATGATTCAGAATACGGTCACGTGCTTTTCCACCGGATCTCCTACGACGCGGTCATTTTTACACTTTTATAGAGCAGGAAGGTTCAGAAAGTCGTGAACGCAGCCCAGTTAGCTTTCGATATAGTACGCTAAATGATCGATTGAGCCACGAAGCGATTACAATTACATGTCATTTGCCACGATATCTTTATGAGGACCATGTTCAGTTTACGATTCGCTGCGAGGGCGTGCCGTATTATCGTCTTTTCACGCTTGTTCTCGCCGACGTCGTTCTGAAAATGGCCAGCCCAAATGAAGGTATGATGGGATTGTGGCGAGGTATGCGACCATGAAGTGCCGTGTCGACTGATGGACCGCTCATCTCCACGCGGCCTCGGTGTCTTATGGGTCTCTCAGCATGATTCAAGTTACATTGTCGCATCGCAACCCGATGGCTGTGTTCATGCTTGAATCGATGTGAGGCACTTGCTCTAATCCCTATTTTAGCATCGCGTTTTCTCGAGCCCAACAAGCGTTACTATTCGCTATTCTTCGCCGTTTCGTCGGTCGATAGACGAGGAAGAACAAGTGTCAGGTGTGTACAAGCTTACTTTTCGGGGCTTCGTTGCCGTTGTATCCGTTGATCTACACTCCTTGTGAAGGTGTCCAGAATCGCTTAGCTCACTCGGGTACGTCATCGTTCGCCATTGATCGTGTTGAGAAAAATTCATCTTTACGTCAACACATCTTCGTCCTTTTCGACACGATCTTGCGACACGTTCAGGCAGAGCTGTTGAGTGGTTTTTGATACCGTTTGGCTGCCCGTAAACGTTCGTATGTTGAATGTGTTATATCCATAACAAGCCATAATCCAAACTCTACTGTGGATTCTAAATAAGAAACGGCTCCATTTAAAAAGGGTATTGTTGAATACACCCCACTTTTTACTAAATACACCCCATACATCCCGCTTATACCACACTACAGCTTGGTTTGCACGACGAATATCGCACCGCCATACCTGCGTACGACCGCTAACGCACAGCAATCTGCATGTGTAGCACAAATATAAAGGGACTTACCAAGCGAACTTTTTTTAGCACGCAATGGGCGACTGGAACTCTTTGCCTCCATAATTGACTTGACAGGCGACCATGAAGTACTCTTCACTACATGTCCTGTACATCTTGGCTGCAACTAGTCTTTTTCAGAAATGGTAACAGCCAGGTTTCAGTCGCGAAATGTACGAAAATGAACGAAACAAAGGTTCAGGTTTCACCAAATATAACCGAAAACATCTGTCGCAGCATAACTTACCTCTTAGAACAAATATGCATTACGCTGCTATTTGTATTTTGGTCTAGCCTGTCCTGAATCTACGTTAGGACTAGCCCATTGTCTGTCAAAGAAGGACTGTTTGTATGACCACTTACTATTTGTACGCCCGATGTAGATTGTGATGTGATTGTACATATGTATAATAGCGCAATATTCGTCGTACAAACCATAGTGTGGTTTGGTATAAGCGGGGTGCATTAAGGAAAAAGTGGGGTAAATTTAGCATTACCCTAAAAACTACGACATGATTGCTTTACGATCCCGGGTGTGCTTTCTTCTTAGACGCCCAGTTTACATTCTTACTCCATATTTCTCTATTTTATAGGATGTTAAAGTTATTTAAGCTATTTGGATATCGAATTTATGAGCTCTTGCATTAACGTGTTCATATTATCTGGGTGGATAGTTCATAATTCCCCCACGCATACTCGATAAATTTGTCGATAGCACTGGCCAGACAGCTTTTTCTTCATCCACACACCATTGCATTTGCAGCACGGTTCTAAATTATCTAAAATTTTGTGAGCTCGATGCTCGTCAAGAACGGTTGAAAATATCATCACATGTCGACAAAAGTTTATTGGTCTCAAGTGTTTATCTCTTTTACCTCACATTTCACATTATTTACGTAATATACCACCGTGGCGATTGGAGCGGTATTTTAAAATGATTAAAATACATAACTGGTCAGTGTGACGTGTAAAAGATTGTCCATCTTCGTATTTTTGCGAGAGCAAAAGATTATATGACAATCTACGTAACATTACAATAAAACGCGAAAAGTTTACTTGTCTTATCCTGTTTCCTGTACAATAATTGTCTTCCTAGATTTCAATTTATTTAGGAATGAAATTCGAGCATAATTGTACTGATATAGTAATGATAGCAACGAAAAGACTAGCAATGATCAGGCAACGTTGAGATCATGCAACTAGAGCAACACGTTACTTCACTTTCATTTGTAAGCAACTCCAGCTCTACACGAGCAGCTAGTAAAAGCCAGCGCGACTTCTGAATCTTGATCCAGAGTTGGTAGTAGCAATAGAAAGAACGCATTGTCTAGCTAAAGAAACGAATGAGTTTAAGGAAGTGGTGGCCAGTAGTATAAAGTCATACTCGTGTATTTGAGCAAGCGCTTGTTAGTTTAGACGATGGGTGTTATCTTTCATCACAGTCAACTAACTGCGTCATGTAATACCAAGAAATGCCAATGCACTTCATTTTTATTCCCTTCATCAGTGACCTCGCAGCCACTAGCTTGCATGTCACAAAGCTCTAAGGATGAATAAGTTTGGCTTACGATGCGTGTGGCCGTCATGGAAAATTGTCCGAGGAAAGCTGGACGTGACGGCGTCCTCCTACCGCAATTCCACTTCGGACTTACACACCACAGAGATGTCTGGATGTCTGTGTAAGTAAAGTTGAGTGCGTCATCCCTTAATGACTTCAGAGCCGCCAACTCAGACTTTCGACCGGCAAACCTTTGGTGTGCGACGTCAAAAAGACTGACAATTGCTATCGTTGGGTCCTGTGTTTGAATCTGTGAGCGCTGCATGACCTACTCAATGAGAACGCGTGATTGCCGTTCTATTGGTCCCAACACTAAACCAAGTCAATGTGCTTCATCATCCTGAATTACTGTATACTGCATGATGATTCAGCTGAATAAATCTCCAGCTAAGCACTGTCGGACATTGACAAACGAAAAGTCGTTTGATCGGTTGGCGAATGACAGTGTGTGTTGTCATTAACGCTTGCTCGACCACTTTCAGCATGGCTGGAGCGACGGTGGCTTAACCGTCGATCAGACGTCGGACGCAACGCATCGCGTCGAAAAAGCAGCACCAGACCGACGACGGGAGACACGCAAACCAACACTGCAGCACCAGATGCAACACCACCGATAAAGACGCCCAGCGCTACCAGCCCTAACGCCAGTACGATTGGAGCAAGTAGAACGTAACCGGATACACAAAAGCACGTTGTGAATGCTTGCCGAAAGGTGAGGCGAGCGCTGACAGTGCACGGGAAGAAGCAACAACAGATAATACAAAATACCACGGCCAGCACAAATGCGGGAGGTCCAAAGAGTACAAAGAAGAGCATGCGCATTACCACACCAATGCCCTTATGAGTAGCTCCTCGCCCCTCAGTGTCCACCATTTGGTTGCCTGCGCAGCCACGGACATTCCACCACTGCAAGGACACACACTTCAGTCAGTTATCACTTCCGATACAATACATTCTAAGATCTCAGTGGCGGTACCTGGAAGTGCTCGGGAAAAACGCTATCGTCAATGATCTTCAGACAGATCCAGCAGAAGCTAGCGTTGCATATCACACATTTCATCTGGTTGCAGCCACCCGTCTTCTCGACATTGTTCTGACAGCCTGGACACTGTTTGGAGATCTTGCTGATCAGTGCATTGTTCAGCTTTTCAACGGCAATCATCTTCTTGTCGTACTCAGCACAAGTACGGCCTTGGTGGGCACTGCTATGCACGAAGCAGAACCCGCGATTGCAGGCCTCACAGATGCACTCTGGCTGATCTCTTCCAGCAAATAGTTGCGAGTGGTCGCAGTACGGGCACTGTCGCGCAAGTTCGTGATCCTTATTAAACTTGAACTTGCCGTGCTTCTGCCACACTACGCCAGAAACTAATGCTTGAATATCGTCTGCCAAGATGTCAGCCTTGCACGTGGTCTTATCCTCCGAATCCTCATAGAAACATTTCGGATACACCTGTCCTTCATTAACATTGAACTCCAAATACTTTGTCAAGCACGTCTCACAAAAAGTGTGTCCGCACACTGAGAGAGCAAACGACGTGTTCATCGGCGCATATTCGTAACAGATCTGACACAAAAATGTCTCCTCCATCGAAAGTCCCAAGTAGCCAGCCATGGATCGTAACAACGTGGGTACCAAATGTCCTTGACTATCGCTCTTCCGTCTCCCGTGCATACCCAACGTCTCTCCCTCTACGGCCTCTTCCACGCCGGTAGATGAAGAGCGACCAGAAGCCGCAACAGAAAGAGAAGCTTCACCACCACCATTTCGATCTTCTGCTGTATCCGAGTTGCTCAAGAACGCCCTGGTCAGCGGTAATGACCTTCTTCGATCTCGAGTACTAGATCGAGCTGGAGCTGGAGTCCTGAAGAAACGTCCGGACGTAGCACGCACTAGTCGAGGCATCTGATACCAACTGATTCGCCCCGAGTCTTCAATCTCGTTCTCCATTATAGGAATTGACCCTCGACGAGGCGGCAATGCATCCAAAACGCGCTGGTCACCACTGTCTTCAACTATGAGGCGGAATTCGCCCAACAATGTGTCTGCAGAGGACAATTGGTGATGAGAAGACCGATCCTCAGTCACACTTGTCACCTTAGCATTCGGGTTTGCAGTAATTGTCAATACTGAAGTCGAGTGAGCGGCCCGGACCTTTGATTCGTCCAGCTGCTCCAGCTCTTCTTCTTCTTCTCGGTGGTGGTGCAAATGCTGCAGCTGGACACTCGAGCGCATGGGTTCATCCTCGCTGGAAAACGCAGAAGACTGTCGCAAAGGGCTGGAGAGGTCTGACAGGTACGCGGTCCGGTCGCGAGTCGAAGTAGCTGCGGGCTCCATGGCTATTGCTGACTTGAAGAGAGAAGCTTTTATTGGTGGAAATACGACAAAATGTCTGATCTAAAGTAGTTTCTTGGATGGAGAATAATAATGTGGTGCTTGATATTATCTATTCGCAGTGACGTCGGCAAAAATAGGGGAGTAAAACGAGCATGTAAGTTATCGAATGTCTTATCGAGCAAGGATATGAGGAAAAACTATCATCGTACCGCATTCCGTCTGTTACTCTCGTGTGGGACAAATTTGTAATTCGCTCGAATCAATACTAATGAAAATTTGTGATTCGCTCGAATCAATACTAATGACTGACAACGTCCTCGCTCAGTGACCTACCGTTGCTGTCATCGTACCAGAATGAAGCTCTTCACCAGTTCATATTCGAGCGTTCGCCACGATGCTTCACGTGAAAGACTATGTGTATGCAATCAGCTCGTCTTCGAATTTCTCACGAGCACGCTCAATTTTATTGGCAAGCTTCGGCGTAAAAATATTTTTTCGTAGAGTTGCAAGAACCGATGAGTACATCGAGTCCATTGAGAACGACGAGTAGGTGCACTTGTTACGAACGTCTGAGACTGGACCTGGTGAGCAACCACAAGGCTTTGAAAGCCGTATGAGTCGGCACCAAACACTTCTAGTTATCGCTTGGAGTGACAATGCGGTGACCTCGTGTACTGTTATATTCTCGGCTACAAAGTGATGACATGTCTTGTCGAAAGCTTGCTGTTACATACGAAGCTGTTACTAAAGTCTGCACCCGCCATAGGCTATCTGATGCTACCCACACGGGTTGCCCCTCTTGCCTTCGTCATGTATCATAATTAGAATTCCAACCGTGCAAAGCTTGTGTAGTCTTCACGTAAGAATGTGGCTTGTGACATGAAAGCTGCTAAAGATGAGTTAGCCCTCGAAGTTTCATTCGATGCAGCCTCACTGACGGAAATGGGAGCTCAGTATATGCGAAAGTGGAGCTGGACATATTATCCAGATAGTAATTGTCTGTTTTCCATACAATCGCATCTGGGATTGAGCTCAAACATTTGCAATATTGCGTTTGCTGGCAATATATCGCACGATCGTTTTATTGTCGGAGTGCACGCCGTAGCAGCGGTGTGTCAGCCGGTGTATTCGCCGAGTCCGATTCATCTAAACGGTATCAACTCAATCATGGCGATTATATTCCGTGTTGACCTCTCCCTCGACGGACCAATTTCCACTGAAATATATACATGCCACTATGAGCCAACGATATTCTGCTTGATTCTCAACAGCATTCATCGCATCTTATATCCAACATCACTCTTTCTCGGAGTATAGTTTATGCAGCGCCTTAAAAAGCCAACGTGAGCTGTACGCCAATAGGATACAGACTTGACTCGTCGACAACGATTGTCCTTTTCGTTCATGTCGTTCTCGGCGTCGTCGAAGGAGCCATCGCTTCTGGCCAACTTCTAGCACTGCATCTCCCATCACGCACATATTTTCGGCCTCACGAATACAGTTGTTCGAGCAAACCAGCCTCAACATCAATGCTGCCATAAATGGTTATCGCCATAGACGACTCGTCTTTCCATACGCAGTAATGTTTGAGGGCAGAACCTTATGCGGAGATCAAACGTGTAAGTATACTGTCACACCAACCAGCATCGTTAGTCCTATTTTTGGGTGAAACTCATTTGCCATCGAGACATTTGAAACTTCGTGAATTTCTCATGTTCCCCCATCACGTCCGGAGGCGTCAATCTTAGATGCCTTCGCAGTGGAACGGTGTGTTATCCAGTTCGCGTGATAACCGGTGCTGCGCGTAGCGATTTGCATACACATGAGCGGCCTTCAGCCGTACAGTCATACTTCCGGTGACCTAATGATCAAGCTGTTACAGCAGCCGTCATCGTCGTTTCTCACTTGGCTACTAATCCGCATTATCAAGATTTAATGTCAGCGACATCGCGAAAGCACTGCGCGATACCGACCACATTTTCACGAGACGGAAGACTTCGAACTTGCAGATCTGTATTGTATCAAAAAACAGTTCTCACGAGTTGCGTATGTTGTTCCGTTCGGATTAATCGAACTCTTCCACATGGGTGCTGTTTCGATGATAGCATAAATTGTAGGCCATCTGGGTTGGAAGCAGGTCATCAGATGGAGATGATGTAGTTCGTCCCAAACACTTGCTTCCGAAACAGCAGTCATTTAAAAATTGCACGATCATCTTCATCACAACCACTCACGCCTAAGACGGTACGTGGAAGACGGAGCTAGAGAAGATATCCTGGCGACAGATTGGGCACGAGGGGCGCGGTAGTTGCTCCACGCAGGAGCCACAGTAGATATGACCACACGGAATGAGCACGCGGTTCACCTGATTTTCCAGACACACAGCGCACACGAGCGCGTCCAGCAATTCCTTCTTTTCACGCGTTACTATGTCGATCTGTGTCGCAGCTGCGCGGCGACTGTTTTCCGCCACGTCCAGACGACATTGCATTTGCAAGTTTTCAGCCATCAGGTCTTGCACGCTCACATCCAGCGTAACGTTTAGACGGGATAGAAGATCGTTGACAGCCGATAAGATGTTAGCGGGGGAGACCGCTGGCGCTGGGATGTTGACATCCGACGTGATCTCGCTGCTGCCAGCGCCAGAAACAATCGTTACGACCGACGATGGCAATATAGCGTTCTCACAATGGCTGGTGGAAAGGTCTTTTGCTTGCTCTGGTGAAGGCTCGCTGACCACAGCATCGAAGCGGCTGCCGGTCCGTACGCGGGCGGACCGGAAAAAGTACACATCAGTGGCCAACACCTGCCGAGTCGCCGAGCTGTCAACTTTAACTTCATATTGACTCACGCCTGCAATATCACTGGGTCCTTCTCGCAGGATTTTGCTGTAGCGCAGAGATCCATCCATGCCTTCTACAGCAACAAGTTCTCCAGGCAGGCAGGAGCGCAACGGAGCTAGCTCCACATTCGCACAGTCTGTCTCGCATAAAGGCTGGCCCAATACTCCTCGGAGCTTCTCCTCGATCAACACGGGGTCTTCGTATACATCGAGTCGTTGCAGTACTACCGGAATCTTATCTTCGTCACATGTCAATATGGACTCTAACACAGAGCAATCTTGTAGAATACCACCTAGCATCTGGTTGATGCACCGAGCCACCAAATAACTCGCGCGCAGTCCCGTGTCACAACGCCCTTCGAGCACACGCTTTGCAATGTAAATCTGTCCGCTCGTCTGGTCCAAGAATGATAAATTGCCCACGCGCGAGACCTTGGTCACGTCAATTCTACGAGGAGGACAATCTAGCTTCGCAACGAAGTGCGAGCGCAGCTCTGTCACGCACTTTACTTCGTATTTTGCTAAACTCAAGATCCGTCGATCAAGGTCTTCAAAGTCAGGTGCAAACCCGAATGCGTCATACAACGGAGCTTTCTGCTGTTGAGTGGTAATGATTGTCCGCAAGCCATCAGCAAATGGCTGCGAAGCCAACACACTAGTAAAATGAGCGATGTCGTCACTAACCAGCATCTCTACCAGATTCTCACTACCATCCAGCTCTTCCGTCACAACGGTAGTAGCTCCTGGCACTCCCAGTATATTGCAACACCGTGTACTTATTCGAGGATGAACCAAAGGCAATTGCGTGATATCGATACTTGAGCAAAGAGCCGATGAATCGTTATAAGCCATCGCCAACATTGGCCGCATCACTGCATTTCCTGAAGGAAGAAAGATGCTTTTTTTCTCGTCCGTGGAGAGGCGATGGTTGGAGTCGGCCATGGCAGTGACGAGGAGATCGACTGATCGGGCAGCTGCAATAAGCTCATTCAGATTCAACGGATGGCCACAGCATTCTAAATTCAGATCGCTCAGCAAGCAAATATAATCATCCACTGTCGGGGATACCTTAGACCCCATGCGACAAAATAGCGCATCGTACGCGCCGAACATCCGAGGCACTTCATAAAGGAGTGGGGCCAAGTTTTCGCCCAGATGAAAGAACAGGCGAGAGCCTTTCACCAGCGTAGAACCAACTGGGATGACTGCCGCAGCGGCAAGACACTTCCGCGTCTTCGCGTCAATTTCGTCCCAGTTTTCTTGCAAATATTGAAAAATTGCCTGGAATACCTTTTCCATAGGCATAAAGAATTGCCAATTCAGAGATCCCGATGAAGAAGCACAGTTGCTGTTTGTAATGGACAGCAGATGGGCGATGACCTGATCTTGAGGCGGTGGAGACTGAATGCACAAGCGACTAAAAAGCACGCGTGCTGGTAGCGCTACGCTCGCTAAAATCGGCATCGTTGTATATACCAGTGCCTGATCATCTGGTATAGCACACTCGGAGTACTTGCGCACAACACAGCGCGGCGTATAGCTGCCTGAAGAGACTCTTGCACTCGAAGTCGACTCCAACACGTCAGGTGCTTCATACAAGATGGCGGGGACGAACGCTAGAGATATAATCCGCTCAAAAAATATTCGTGACCGATCAAACTTGTCATAATTCTGGACGAAGAATTGGTGCAATGCTGTAGTGAGCTTCTCGTCTTCGGCTGAAAGAGCTTGCTTACCCGCGCATCGTTCATCAATGCGTTCTGCACACTCCACAAAAATGTCAGCGGTCACTTCAGTTTGCAGCCCTATCTCAGACATGAGATCCAGCCATTCGGGCGTTCGATAGCGTTGAGCTGGAAATCGTCCACAGACACCATCAAAGATGGTGGTGAGGACACTGTTTCGGGGATCACAGAAAGAGCTCGCCGTGTAGCAACTTCCATCTGTACTCTCACCATCGCTGAACAAGGCCGATACGCTCAGCAAGGAGATCAACTCAGTGTTATGGCGTAACGATTGCCATTTCCGTAGGATAATCTGCAGTATCTGATTGCGCCGGACTTCCGGTAGCTCACCGTACATAGGCAGTACGTAGATCAGAAGTCTGCTGTCACTCATTTCTTCCACACCAAGTTCCTGGTAAAAGGCGTTCAAGGTC